CTGGCTGAGCGAGGCGCGGGAGCGGCACCGAGGCTTGCAATCCCGTTGCCGGTCCCCGGTCCGGTACGGGGGCAACACTGAGGGTTGCGATCCGTTGCCGGACACGGAAAAAAGACAAAAAAGACAAAAAAATAAAAAAATAAAAAAAAAAAATAAATAAAATAAAATAAAATAACATTTTAATTGTGTATTTGTTTTTTGCTTTCATTTTTTAAGGCTTGGTGTGCTGCAGGAAACTGTTTCAGTCTGCAACGGGAACATGATATTGCAATTAAATTCTTCCAGAGAGCTATCCAGGTTGATCCAAATTATGCTTATGCCTATACTCTATTAGGGCATGAATTTGTGTTAACTGAAGAACTAGACAAAGCATTAGCTTGTTTTCGAAATGCAATCAGAGTCAATCCTAGACATTATAATGCATGGTAAGTGCTAATGAAGTGCAAAGACAAAGTCTTATTGATGCTGTGGTACTCTGTAATTTTTTTGTTAAATATCTATTTATTGTCATGAATTTAGTTACCAGTACTTAAGGATGATGGTACATATTGGTTGATAACTTCTTTTTTTGTTTATTTTCTTTTTGGTTGATAACTTCTAACCAAAATGTTTTCATGTGAAATGTGTATCTTTAACAAACTCTTAAACTAATTAATGATAATAGAATACCAGATACTTATACTCAACAGTTTAAGCCTTTTCTTTTACCAAACTTTTGCAAATGGTTAAAAAAAGTAACTTTTGTTACTTTTTCTTAGAACGCTGAAGTGGTGATTAGGATTAAAAGAGGTTGGGAGAGTGGAGAGGAATAGTGTAATTCACCTATTGAATAATAGAAAATAAATGTTGAAAAAACCCACTAGTTTTTGCTCTTTGACAGTGTTCTAGTCTATTGAGTTATTATTAAGAACTCAGTGTTCCGGTTTATTAAGTACATTATCCCCCTTATCCAGTTTCACTTTCCAAGGTTTTAGTTACTTACCTGTGATCCAAGGATAGGTGAGTACAGTACTGTACAATATTTTGAGAGAGAAGAGAGACCACTTTCACAGACCTTTTATTACAGTATATTGTTATAATTGTTCTACTTTATTATGATCATTGTTAATCTCTTAGTGGGCCTAATTTATAAATTAAATGTTATCATAGGTATGTATGTATAGGAAAAACATAGTATATAGTGTCGGGTTTAGTACTATCCATGGTTTCAGGCATCCACTGGGGGTCTTGGAACATATACTCAGGGATGAGAGGGGACTTCAGTAGTGTGTCTATTTTACTTTTTTGTACTTACGCATGGGTGACAAATAGGAAGTCACTACCTGGTTTGTTTTGTTAAAAAATGAAGAAAAATTTGAGTTTGTTCCTATTTCTGCTTCAACACCACACTTACTGCCAACATTTGTTGACCGACTGAATAGTTTAAATATCAAGAAGTATAATTTTGAAATCATAACTCTATAGTAGTTTTTATGTCAGACATGGTTCTTTTGGCCTAATCATTGTAACAGTTGAGTTTTATCATTCTATTTATCACAAAATCTGAAACATTAGATTTCTAAAATATATTTTTTATTTGTGCATGTATGTTTTTTAATGGATTTTAGCTCATTTCTAAGTAGTTACATTTCCTAAAAAAAAAAAGTGGTAGCTGGCTTTTGCTGACATACGAGACACTAAAGCTTGCTGATACTGCCTTCTCTTCAGATAGATATAAGTTCTCAATATTTTAAGAATTCAGTTCTTTTTTGTTTGTTTTTGTTTTTGTTTCTTTTGCTTTGTTTTTTGGCAGCTGGCTGGTATGTGGATCTGAACCTGTGACCTTGTTGTTAGCAGCACTACACTCTAACCAAGTGAGCTAACTGGCCAGCCCAATAACTCAGTTCTTAATAGGACTTGTGTTGTTCTTTAAATGTGTAGTATCTGTTCTGCTATTTTGCAGTAGTTGCATTCATTTTTAAATTTTTATTTATTTATTTTAGTTGCATTCTTAAAAAACATTGCCATATCAAAAATTGTGTTGAAAAGAGGACTATTCACATCAGCAAGCAAGCTTTTACGGGGAGGAATTTAAATACTGAGATATTTTAGATAACTCTGTCTAACTAAAAACTGAGCAAAT